GCCTGCTGGAAATTGCTCCGTGCTGATCCAGTAAAGTGCATTAAAACCCCAATCCAGGTAGTATTAAAGGGATAAATGAACCACAGAGAAGAGACTCTTGTTCTGGATTTTTACTAAGGGATTTTTATCCTTTTTTTCTCTTTTTCTAAATTCAGGAAATAAATAGTTTAAAATGGATTTTGGAGAGTGTATTTCTGCCATGGTAAATGGCCTCTGTGCTGGAAAGGGCTTGGGTTTTGAAAATTAAGTTTTAGTTTCACAGCTACACTTTGAATTCTTGCTACTTTTGTATGATGCAGAGATATTACAATTGACCCTGTTAAAATGATCTGATTTTCCATGACGTAATTGCCTACCAGAAAAAAAAAATACTGATTTGTTTTATTTACTGTCATTTGCTGTGCTAGTTGTATTGGAAATAAAATGCGGAAGAAGTAATACAATGTAAACTGGGTAGTTATGAAACCCTAAGAGTATGTCTTTATGTGTGAGGGTTCAGCCAGGGCATCTCTCAGTGGGTATTCATAGTTAATCCATGACCAATTTCACAAAAGGAGACTGAGTTTTCTAAGAAGCAAATTTATCTTTTGAGCAATATGGACATTTCTGAGTTAAAATTATCATATTATTTTTATTTTGTGCTCTTATCCAATTAAGAAACATTGTTTTAAAAATGGTAAATGTTTGTGTTTTTCTCTCCAGCACAAGATAGAATCATTTTAATAGTTTTCTTAAGTGACCCAGATTGTTCTGTTAAATTTGTATAGGACTCATCATGTATATGCATTGTAGAATAAATGTATAGATAGTATCTCACAGTGTGTCAAATGATGAATAACTTAAAAAAGAGGAATGCTTTCTGGTTGACCTTGAAGGTAGTACAAGAATCACTAGAACGCATGTCAGAAAGGAGAGTATGGTCAAAGAAAGACCTCCTACCTGACAGTTGTAAAAGGTACAAATGGTAAAAACAAGTATCTTATCTGACTGAGAATAAAATTCCTGTGCTGAAATGTAAAGTAGAATTAAGTTTAGCTTCAAGAATATTGTCAAGGCTAATACAAAAAGCACAGGTAAATCAGCATACACCACACAAACTCAATCATTTGCTTCCAAATGGCTTATTTTCAAAAGCTAAGATGTCAATTCCATCCCTACATGTCGAATTGACAGCTTCTCCCTCCATTAGCATTAATGAGCTACCCACTTAAATCCTCCCTCCAACATCAACAAGGGAGCCAGAGATATCCCCTCCTACTCTGTGTTTTGTTTCTGCATATACCAATTGTTGGCTATTCGCTAAATTAGTGTAAATTTATCGGCTATGGTGCACATTACCTTCCACAGCTAAAAATGGCTTCTCATAGGAATTAGTGTTAAAATGTAATTTTAATCATCTGTCAAAATACGTTAAATAATCATTACTCACCAGCAGACTGTTAGGAAATACACTAAATCTTGGTGAACATGTGACCTCTGCAACTGAGGCATTTTCTACAAAATTAGAGTTGAAAAGGAGCTTGACAGCTTGCTTAATCTAATTCCTTTCTTTCAGAGGCCCTCACATAAACAGTTCTTGAAGAGTAGTTTAAAAAAACAATAGAGACAGAATCATTTCGGGTCACCTATTTCTCAGTTGCGCTCCTCATCACAGTCCCGATTCTACTTAGCACGATTCTTTTCCTATTCATGGTTTCGTGGCTGAAACTAAGGATAAAGGTGGGGTGCAAAGAAGTGAGTGTGGTACCTTTCAAAGTTAGGCCTAATACAGCTCCCTCCTGAGGTTGGAATTAGAATGAAATGAGACCTAGACCATCTAGCATTTAATAAATAAAACAAGTTCACTTCACAATAGACTGGAAAGGGTATTTGTCAAGGATAAGACATTGATTCAATTGCATGGGGCTCCTCTGTTTCCTCATTTCCCACACTGGCATGCCCAGTGAGCAGCTTGTGAATAACTGAGGACCCCTGTTTCCTTGTGGACTGGGCTTGTCTAGTAAACCAGCTAGTTTAATCAACAGTTAGAACCTTAGGTCCTTGGGACCAATTAAGTTTTGAGATAGTTTTGGGGGTGGGGGGTGGGGGAAGGGAAGGGGAGGAATGAGAGGGGGCTAGTCTAGCTTGCATGTAGTAGATTTTGCTTCTAGTCAAGGATTTATATTTATAAAATACTTTCCCTCCATGCATGCGTGTATAGATTCCTCAGAACTATCACTGTCTCTTTCCTAGTTTCCCCTCACCATAAAATAAGCTATCATATTCATAGGCCATGATTTTTTTTTCCCAGCCATTTTGGTAAATTTAGCTACCTTGTAGTTGGGATGATTTGAAGCCAAAAGAAAAATGATGGGATGCTAAAACCTACTGTGTGCAGAATATTGTATTATATACTGTGAAAGCCATAAAGAGCTTTTGCTTTCATTGAGTTTATGGTCAAAGCCAGCTAACTTCACCATACTTGAAGTCTTTAAATAATCCCAGCTGAATCTATTGTACTTTTAAAGGCATTTTGAAAAGATTTCATTACTTCTTTCTTTAACTTTCTCTAATATCTGATCACAATGCCTTCAGAAAATTATTCATTTTAATCATTTAATCTCTCCTATTGAAGATAGAATCATTTATTTTAAGGTATTCTTTATGAAAAGATTGAGAATAGTTAATTATCATTCTTGTCATAATTTCTCAGTTTATAAGTGTTTTATGTTTATATCCAAGATCATGTTTTAAAAACAATCAAAATTTACTAGACACCTAGTGTGTGTACAGCACTGTGTCTGGTGCTAGAGAATACAGAGTTTAGTAAACTGTGGTTACTTCCTTCGTGAAGACATAGGCCAGCATAGTGAGGAAAAAGTAGTTGACGAGTCTGGAGGCCTGGGTCCAGCCCTGACATTTACCAGGGAATGTCATTTAACTGCTCTGAGGCTTGATTTCTTCATGGGAATAATAATTTTGTTCTACAGACCTCACAGAGTCATTATGTGGACAATGCTTTTTGTAAACCTTTCAGTGCTATGTTATATAAATGCAGATTGGGGGGGCAGCTAGGCAGCCCAGTGGATAGAACACTGGCCCTGGAGTCAGGAGGACTTGAATTCAAATCCTATCTCAGACCAGACATTTGACACTTACTAACTTCCTGACCCTGGGCAAGCCACTTAACCCCAATTGCCTCCCCAAAAAGAAAAAAAAATGCAAATTGTTATTATTGTGGTGTTTGTAATCTAAGAAAAGGCTAGTACCTACATATAGATTACTGCAGTGCAAAAACGAATTTGAGAAGTGCGTAAGAAAGATTGAAATAAGAGGGCTAGGTGAAAAGGTGGTGGTGGTGGTTCAATCTTGTCTGACTCTTTATGACCCAATTAAGGGTTTTCTTGGCAAAGATGCTGGAGTGATTTGGCATTTCCTTCTCCAGCTCATTTTGTGGATGAGGAAACTGAGGCAAACAGGGTTAAGAGACTTGCCCCAGGGTCACATTGTTAATAAGCATCTGAGGCCAGATTTTGAACTCAGATCTTCCTGACTCCAGACCTGGGACTTTCTCCACTGTACTACCTAGCTGGAGGTGGAGGGTGGGGGGGTAAATCATTTTTGCCTGGGGGCTTCAGGGAAGGCTTACTTCATAGGAGAGTAGGTAGCATTTAAGATGGACATGGGAATAGGAGGGATATTTCATACATAGTAAATAGGCAGGAGAGTGTGTGGTAGGATCAACTAGGAGGGGGAAAGGTGCTGTCTGGTATTCCTCTAGGACAATTAAATTTTTTTTCTTCTCTTGTAATTGGGTTTGCTTTATTCTGTTGCCTTCTTGTTATTTCTTTTAATGTCATTTAAAATGTTAATCCTATCACCCCCCCCCCCTTATTTTTCCTTCCCCTAAAATTGTCACTTAAAAATGAATCCTCTTTCTAGATCATCTGGATTATCGATAAAAATGTAAAGCAAGTATAGGGCTGAAGGTTGTGTCTGATGAAATAATAATTTTTATCATATTTGGGGGTCTCCAGACATGGACCATTGATGAAGGTTCCTTAAATAAGAGCTCCCACCTAATGATGATCATACTCAATAGTCAGCCATATGTCTCCAGCTATTTATTAATGAGAGGTGTTAGTGTTATTGTTTGTCATTTATTTTTGGAGAGGACCAGTGACATCACAGGGTGATATTTTGACTTGGGAATAAACAGGATTTAAGTGAGGCAGATTTGCACACAAAGGTGGTATGGAGTAAAGTATGGAGGGATGATCCACCACTACACAGACTTGCTGTGTGACCATGTCCATATCACTTAACCTCTCAGAACCCCAGGGCAACTTTCAAGAACATAAGTTCCAGACAAGTTGCTGACGTAATTTCAATACAGATGAAATCTGGCCCAGATTTAAAAGAAATGAACAGCCAAGAAAATATGGAAGTCTGCCTGTGAAACTAAGTGGAGGAATGTCTAAGAGGTAGAGAGTTGGATTGAAAATCAGAAGAGTTCTCGAATCATGGTCCTGGTCAACTATGTGAACAATTTAAATAATCTTTCTTTGCTTCAACTTCCTCTCTGAAAACATAGGGCAAGGAGGTAGGTGACTTGGTACAGCAGAGGGAGAGTCCTGGGCTTGGAGACAGGAAGATCTTGATTTCAATCCTGCTTCAAATACCTACTAGCTTTGTGACCCTGGGTAGGCCACCAACTTTTTCTCAGCCTCAGTTTTCTCATCTGTAAAATGGGGATAACATTAAAACTATTACCTCTCAGGGTTGTTGTGAGGGACAAGTGAAATAGTGTAGACAATGGCTTCAGGAATCTGAAAGTGCCGTACAAATGAAAGTTATTAGTATTACTATTGTTATTATTATTTGAATCCTTACCACCAGATGTTACTGCTAAGGAGTTTAATGGTCTGTGATAACAGATGTTGATTAAATAGAAAGTGCTCTGGTGTTATCCTCTGAGTAATTGTCATTCTTAACCTTGACATTCTTCCCTCTATTTATAGGGACGGAACTTAGCATCAGGGGAAATTGGCTTCTTTCCTAGTGAAGCAGTTAAACCTTGTCCATGTGTAAGTACATATATCTATTTTTTTTTTGTGGTCAATGTAATTGTTTGTCCAAGAACATTCAGGGGAAATTGGTCAGCTTCACCAGAAATTTTATTAATCATGCCTTCTGGGAATCATATTATTTTTTTGTTCTTTGCATTTAAATGTTATGTCTAATGTTATTTAAAATTGCAACCGTGATAAGCTTCCATTAACAGATTGAAAGTTTAAAGTGTTAAAGAAATATTCACGGGAAGCAAATTTAACTTCAGGGAATTTATGAAATTAGATTGTATGGAGAGCTTTTATTTTTAAAAGAAATAAGCCAAAGCTTACAGAGCAAATGCATTGAGCAAATTGTGTTTTCTCCAGTGAGGTGAGAATGGTTTGATTTTAATCTGTTTCCTCCCTTCCCCCCACCCCCCCAAGTCACTTTGGGTTACAGAGATATTGCACTATAAATAGTATGCTTTTAAAAAAGTAGCATCAAGTATACAAACCCTTCAACCAAATCTCTAGATATATTTTTCTGTGTACGTTGATATCTCATTATTGTTTTCTTCAACATCACAGTAAAATGTTCTCAAAACATTAACTGCAGTATGACGATGCTACCCAGAAGAAATTAATGAACAGCAGTACTTATCCAAATGAAGTTATGAAAAATTCAACTTTATAGAGGAAATAGAGATGGATGCTATTGTTTCCAATTAAATTAAACTTCTTCAAAAATGCCACCATCTTTCCAGGCTTATAGGCTTTTATATTGGAATTGATTACTATGACCTCCTGTTAACTGGCTTAAAGTCTCCTGGACACTAACATTGCAATCTTTTTTTTTTTTAATTTAAGTTTTATTGAAGGTTGTGTTTTTACATGACAGCATTTCTGGATATATTCTTTTCCCCACTGTAGCTCTCCCTCCCTCATTGCCATGTTTTCCTTTTTTTTTTTTTTGTTTTTGCCTGTTCTTTTGGGGTTTTTTTTTGAGACTAGGTCTCCTTTATCTCACCTTAACTGTAGGGGCAGGGCCATTTCTAGCCCCACTTTAGACAGTCTGCTGGCTTTATGTTCCAGGAGCATAGGTCTGCCATAATGGAACCTGGGAAGCTCACCGTCTTAATGCTGGACTTAGGGCAAACATCCAATCTGTTTTAGTCCTGTTTGAGCTTAGAAGTCACAAATTAAAGGGATCTACCAGTGTTAACCTTCTGCAGTAGCAGAGATTATAGTATTGTGTTAACCAGCCTGGCCCTTCTCTTATGAAAAAGAGTAAAAAAGTTAAAATTAATGAACACATTGACTCTTTGTGACAGAGTATGGAACATTCCATACCCATTGTCTCCCACCTTTATCACAAAAGGAGGGAAGTATATTTCCTCATCACTTTTCATGGATATTCTTTGGTTAATATAATTGTGCAATGCTCTGTTTTGTTGTTCATTTTATTTACATCAGTATAGACACCCTGTATGCTGTTTTCCTTGTTCTGCAAATTTTAATTTGTTTAAATTTATGTCTTTCCTTGTTTCTCTAAATTCCCCATGCTTGTTTCTTATAACAGGATAACTTCTCATTACTTCATATGCCACTATTTGTTTAGCCATTCCCTAACTGATAGGTACCTGTTTTGTTTCTGGTTCTTTACAAACAAAAATAAAACAAAACAAAACAAAAACAAAAAAACCCCCACATACTCATAGACACACAGTCTGGCTTCATGACCCTGTACAAGTCACTTAACTCTTGATGCCTCCAGACAAGTCTCTAAACCACAAATTATAGAGAAGGGTCTTATGTGCATTGGTACTACTGAGGAAAGTAATTTTCTTCCCTACGTGGATGAAACAACAGGTCCAATGAAAAATAAAACATTGTGACAGAAATCTAGGACATGTCAAAGGACAGATATGTGGGGAGATTCATTACAGAACAATACCTTTTTCATACCTTTGAGTTCATATTTGCCATTAATATATATTGACTTCTGGATAGAGCTCTGGCCTTGGAGTCAGGAGGACTTGAGTTCAAATCCAGCCTCAGACGCTTGACACTTAGTAGCTGTGTGACCCCGGGCAAGTCACTTAACCTTGATTGCCTTACCAAAAAGAAAACAACAAAACTATATATATATATATATATATATATATATATATATGTATATGTATATACAATATATTTATGTTATATATGCATGTATAATATATAATATAATAATATATATGTGTGTACATATGTACACACACACACATATGTATATATATAGACTTCTTTAGAAAATATAGGTTGAATAGGTTCCAGGAATTGTGCAATATAGGAATATTTAATCAGATTAACTGACCCAGGGGCCAGAGAATAGTCTCAGGAGAGCCAAGTAGGTCTCATATGGAGAAAGCCTGGGAGGTGTGCCACTGTTTTGTGACTTCACTGGACATTCAGGTGGGAGGTCCTAGGAATTCTCCTCAGAATGTTGACTGATGAGAGGAATCAGGGTGCAATGGGAAGAGCTCTGGACTTCAAGATATGAGATAGTGAGCTTTGAATCCTTTCCCTGCCTGTTGAGAGCCAGTGACTTGAGGAGGGTGATTTCTTTACTTGCAAGTGAGTTGGATTTAAGTAAGACAGAGCTGTGCAAAGCCACCAGCCTCACTCTCTTCTCCAGGGTCATCCGATTCCAGGGGCAAGACGTAGATCAGGAAGAATGAAGATGACCCCAGACATAGTGGGAGATCTTGACCTTTTTAAGCTAAGGATTTTTCCAGGTCTCAGTTTGTCTGAGGCAACACCCATTCAGTGATTTAAGGCTAGGTAAGAAAGGAGGTAAAAGATAGCCTAGATTGCCTATTAAAGAAAAAATTCCAACTGGGAAGGGAAGATTCTCAGGGTTTCTTACCAGAACAGAAGCAATTGCTATTTACACTCATTCTGAGCCATCAGAACCCGAACAATGACCAAGTGAAGCTTGGACTGGGGCCTATTGTTGGCCAATCTGAAAGCCAGAGCGATTTGGGTTTACAGCTTGGTCAAGTAGCTCCATTTGAATCCCAAGGGTCTTTACCAAAGCCTAGTTTTCCAGAGTTCTATTTCAAAAAATCATAAATGAAACTGCATGGGGTTGTTGTGGTCTAGGGTGCTGAGAACTCCAAAATTCAAGGGCAAAAGGTACGGGTCCTGCCTCCAAAGAATTCAACTCAAGCCTTTTAGTCAGAGACAAGGTTTATTATTTCACCAATATATGTGGGTGGGCTTTTTAAGAACCTGAACTATTTGTAATGCTTGTATTGACAAGTGGGACAGACTCTTAATGAATCTGAGCAATTTGGTAGAGAGATTGGCCTTTTTTATAGTGTGATCAATAGCTTGGGGTGACTGGGAGGTAACAGAGAAAGGGTCTAGATAGGATAAAGGAGTGGTAGTCTAGGGGTGGGGTCAGGTGCAGGCAATGACGGCCACAATGAAAGGGCAGTTGAAAGGATTATTAACTGGGAAAGCCTAGGTATTCTAGGTGAAAGCCAGGGACCTGGGCCATGTGGGGAAGTCTACAGCCTTTTAGGGGTCCATCATTAATGCCCCATCAGAGTGAAAGAATTAATTACCCCAGTTATTTTTTTAATTGATAGAATAAATAAGTAGGGAAGAGAAAAAAAATCTAGCCCATAAACCCCAAGATATCTTGCAAAGTTTTAGTGATCAAAATTCATATTTCTTTGGGAAGGGTATGATTCCCCATGTGGACAGTCCCTGCCTATACTACTAGCTGGCTGACCATCCTCAAAGCATGGAGCCTCTTCATCTGAAGGGATAATATATGCAATGCCTGCCTTATGGGGTGGCTGGAAGTATCAAATGAGAGAATGCTTTGCAAAAGTCTATTTAAGTGTCAATGAGCACCATTGTCATTTTGATTTTCCTTAAAGACCAGCTACTATAATTTCCTAGAAAGCTCTGATTTTCTCTTAGAGGTGAGGCAGAAGATAATCTGGGGAAATGGAGGGGCTACTTCCCTTAAAAATACAGGATTCAGTTAAGGATCTGGGAACCAATTTTGGGATTTGGAGAAACTGAATTTGAATCACAAGCACAGTAATTCTTCTAAAACTGAGAGACGTCACCGTGTACCACAAATTCAGTACAATTCATTCTAGTTGAAAGATTACTGCGCCTTTCTGTACCTTCCCCCCAGTTATTAGCACTCCTTCTTTTGTTACATTTTATAGTTGGCTTTAAAATTTTAAAATTTTATTTTTGCCCAGGAAGCATTTATTTTCTTATTCCCTCCCCAAACAATAACAATAAAATCCCTTAACAAATATGCCTGGTCAAGTGAAGCAAATCCTCTCATTGGCCATGTCCAGATATGTGTGTGTGTTTGTGTGTGTGTGTGTGTGTGTGTGTGTGTGTGCGTGTGTGTATTTCACTTAGCATTTTGAGTGCATCACCTCTCTATCACAGATGGGTAGCATGATTCATCTTTGGTCCTCTGGAATCATGGTTTGTCATTTCATTGAAGAGAATAATAAAGTCTTTCAAAGTTTTTTTTCTTATTATTTTATAAATTATTCTTCTTGTTCTGCTCACTTCACTCTGCATCAATTCAAACAAGTTTTCCCAGGTTTCTTGAAATTGTCCATTTCACCATTTCTTATGGTGTAACAATATCCTATTCCATTTATATAATATAACCATTTTGTAACTATTCCCCACTAGATAGGAGCCCCCTTAATTGGAAGTTTTTTTCTTCTACAAAAGAGGTACTGTAAATATTTTGTACGTATGGATCCTTTTCCTCTTTCTTTGATCTTTTTTTATGATATGAGCTTAGTAATTGTATCACTGAATCAGAAAGAAAACACAGATTAATGATTTAGGGCAATAGCTTTAAATTGTTTTCTCTTTGCTTGTGTTTATTCCTTGATTTCTTTTTCTTATCATATTGCCATATTTTTCTAGCACTTCTGGAAGCACTCTGTCTAAAAAGTAATGTTGATAATAAATACTCTTTTCTCCTTCAAATTTTTTTTATTCATTTCCATATGTTTTCCATTTACTTGCATACATGTGATATCCCTTTACTGTGATGTCAAATCCTTGAGTATAGGGAAGGTTTTGCTTTTGTTGTATTCCAGAGCCTAATCATCTTAGGTTCATAAAAAGTGTGTGTTGAATTGAAGGACACTGTACTTGGACTTCAAGTTCTGGGTCTGAGATTTGTTAAGTTGTATGGCCTTGGATGAATCACTTTACCTACTGAGTCTTAGTTTCTTCATCTATAAAATAAAGATAATAAAGTTTGTATTATCTTAAGAGGCAACATAATGTAGTACTTGGAATAGCTAAGAAGACCTACTATGTCTCTCATACATATTGACTATATGGTCTTACTCAGGGTACTTAACTTTTCTGTGCCCTAGGCAACTCCCTTGGTCCAAATTACTGTGAATAACGAATCCTGTGAAGTGGTCCCATTACTGTAATTCATACTACTTATTTCCAATGGACTGGAACCAATTACTGTATTTTATATAATGATAATTTAGAATATTGGAAATTCAAATACATACATTTTAGGGGGATTCATCTTTAGTACTAATCAGGACCTAGCATAGGTATTGTATGTTGCAGAAAAGATACCAGCCTGCTTTGGTAAATGAAGTTGCTGCATCAGGAATTCCTTATACCAATGAAATAAATCACAAGCCCAGTACCAATTCCTGTCACACTAACTACCTTATAGGTTCTTTTTAAGGAGCAAATGAGATAATGCATGTAAATTATAAAGCACTACATAAGTGTAGGCCATGATTATAATAGCCTACATTTATGAATAATAATATTGAAAATCTAATAGCCTACATTTATATAGTGCTTTATAGGTTATGAATATAGCTGTCATCATTAATACTTGTGTGAGCAATAATGAAATGGCTTATTTCCTATTTCTGAAATAAATTTAGCATAAGATAGCTACTATTAGAATTTGAAGATAGAATATTTTGGGTTTTTTATCTGTTTTGAATATATTAGCATACACATAGATGCTTACTAAGACAAGATTTTGATACTAGGCATGTAGTAAAATAAAAATGAGTGATGTTTACAGTGCAGACCAATTTTATTGTTAGTAACCAAAGGGATATTCTGACCAGAAAGATAAATTGATTCTGCCCAACTCTTAACCTAGAAGGGCAAAATATAAATATCCTATTATGACAAATGATTCAGCTAATGACATGGTAACATTGATCAGATTTTCAAAGTGCTATAACTTTCCCTATTATTATCAAGTGTAACAGTCTTCATAACTATCCAATATGAAAATGCCCAGGAACAGCATACAATGCATATATAAAAAGTCTTCAGGAATGAATGAAAAATTGCTCAATCATGAGAATAGCTTGTCTGTATCCAGTCTTTTCTTAGGTATTTATAAACCCTTTCCCCCTCTTTGCAGTAAGGAGTTTATATCAGCAGATATTTCTATTACCATATGAATGATGTTAATTCCTGACTGCCTTTCTGTCCTTTAGTTGTTGTGGTTGCTTGATAGCTTTCATAAGATACCCAGAATATTTGATCTATTTACAGAAAACAATGTTTTTGGTTTTTTCTCTGTGAGATTCACATAGTGAAGAATAGAAAACTGAGTATTTTCTAGCACTCTGGCTTTGCCAGACTCTTAAACCTAAGTTTGGAATTTGCATCACTAATGGTGGTGAGCAATTATTATCTCTGCTCAATGAACTGAAGAGAATGTCTGGCACTTTATTCATAATTTATCTTTGTTTTTTTTCTGTGTAGACTCAAATAACCTTACAAGTAACTATGTAAATTTCACCAGCCTACACATTTGACTTGACACCTCTGCTCTTGGAGACATACCAACAGCCAAGCAAATTATGTCCTATTTGCTTAGCCTATATTATAATTCCCTTTGGGTGAGAATGATATTGGATCCTAATTCTGTTATTGATGCTTTTCTTTTTTTAACTATCATTATCATTGGACAGCTAAATGGTGCAATGGATATAGAGTGCTGGATTTGGAGTCAGGAAGACTTTTAGCTATTTTGACCCTGGGCAAGTCACTTAATTTCTCTCAGCCTCAATTTCCTTCTCTGAAAGATGGAGATAATAATAGCACCTACCTCTAGGGGTTGTTGTGAGGATCAAATGAGATAACATGAAACTTTAAAGCATTATAAAAAATGCTAGCTGTTATTATTAATATTATTGTTGTTGTTATTTATTCCTCAATATAACTCTTCCTTGTGTGATACTGGCTTTTGTCTATATGCTAGATTTATGAAAGATGGCCCATATTCATAATAAATCTTCATTTTAAAGTGTAGACATGAAGTGGTTCCTATGATGCCCCCCAGTTAGAGAGCACAACTCTAGCAAACAGCTAAGGGTTGAGTTCCTGGATGTGCACTAGGAAAGATTTTCTATGCAGTTCCCATTGTAGCAACTTCATGCTGCAAAAGGATGCCAAGGAACCATCCATCCTACTGCTGAAGCTAGCAATAGCAATAAAAGCCACAATCACACCTCTGGCTTATAGAATGCATCTTTCATTGTTTTGAAGAAGGGAATGGCAGATGTGGCAGACATCAGCTCCTGCCATACCCACTGCTGCGATGGGATAACCATCTCTTCTTCTTTCTCTTCATCTTGTTCCCCTCGAAATTTCCAAAACTCCTACCATGACCAAATCATGAAAACCCCTGATCTCTTGTCAGATGGCTGATCTCCTTGTAATTTTCTCTTTTCCCAAACTGGGGACAACCTCAGATCCCAGGGATTTTATAGCCAGCCAACAACCCCTTGCCAGATGTCATTACATTCCTAAAAACAAACAAATGAACAAAAATCCAAGTACAGTTAAGCAAAATCAGTGGATGTATTGGTTTTACTAGCAGCATATATCTCTTTTCCATGCCTGTTGTCCACCACCCTAAAATACTTCATTTTCAGTTCTCTAGCATCAAGACTGGTCATTTTGTTGATTTGGATTTGGATTTCTTTTAGCATTGTTTTCCTGTACATTCCAAAGAATATTTCCAAGACTGAACTCCTTAAGCTCTTATAACACTGGATTGAGGATCTATAAAAGTGAATTCATCATTAGTATCCAAATGCTTCCTTTTGGTAACTTTATTGTATTTTGCCTTTTCACATAATAGGTTCCCAAACCAGTAGACTACTCTTGCCAGCCATGGTAAGTATTAAAAAATATATATGCATTATTTATGATTATATTTACTATATTATATGTAGATATGTACATATATTTATTATATAAGTATATAAATCTATTTACTATAAACTTAGAGCATAGACTTTTTGGAAAGGGGGAATATTGTGATATAGATACTTCCATTTGTAGCCTGTAAAGATGTTTTTACATATAGAAGACAGTGCCATTATGATTATAGATTTTTTTCATGCTTTCCATTACTCTGTCAGAGGATGTGTCTGTATATATGTATATAGGCATCATATGTATAACTACAGGGTTCATAACTGCCATGAAAGGGAACAATAAACACCCTCAAATACCAGATGTGCACCCTAGATTTAGAAAGGCAGATTTCAAAGAGAAGATCTGATTCAACAATTCAAAAAAAAATCTGACAGTATAATTGTGAGTTATCTGAATGAGTGAAAAGGAAGAGCCTAAAAAGTCTGCTGTAGATGCTTAGGGAGGTGTCTGATAAACTTAGATTTTAAAGACCTTGTACAAAAGACCGAATCAAGTGATCAGCAAGTATTTTAGTAAGCATCTACTGTGTACCATATATGGTGCTAGACAGATGCACAGCTCAGAATAAATGCAATATAAGGCACAAACTTTTCAGAATAGTGTCTAGAATGTTAATGTTTCAAATTAATTGAGGTTTGAAAAAAGAAATGCTAATGAGACTGAAAAAGATATTTTTAAAGCAATATTTGCAGCACTACATACACCTTTGAAAAAAGAAGTGGTGATAGCTAGGTGTTTTCAGGGAGCTGCTAAGAAAAGGTTTTCCAACATAATGTCATTTCCTATTTTTGTTAGTTTTACTCGACTGGAAGATCAAGCCAATGATATATATTTTCATTTGATATCTGAATTTGTAGAATGGGTGGCACAGTAGATAGAGTGTCAGGAAGACTTATCTTCCTGAGTTCAAATCTGGCCTCAGATACTTACTAACTGTGTGACCCTGGACAAATCACTTAATCATATTTGCCTCAGTTTCCTCATCTGTAAAATGGAAAACCATTCCAGTATCTCTGCCAAGAAAAACCCAAAAGGAGCCACAAAGAGTTAGACTGAAAAATGTCTGAACAACAAAAGCAAGGGTTTATAAGCCTGTTCAACTAATTTGTTGTCTGGTCAACTAATTCAGCTAAATGACCACTTAACCTGTAAGAGATCTTGCAGAACAGATTTGTTCATTAGGCAGGAGTTTGGACAAAGTGGCCTCCAAAACCCCTTCCAGTTTTAAGATTCTTTAATTCTGTGTGTGCATATGTATAGAAGAGAGGAGAAACTGTGGCATAGCAGAGGGGTGACCTCAAAGTCATGAAAACCTGTGTTGAAGTCCCAGCTCCTGACACCTGCAGGCTGAGTGACCCCTGGGCAGGCTGTTAACTTCTTTGCACCCCCAAGCAACTCAGTGAGACCATAAATTGCCAATTAGTTGATGGTCTTCATGAAAAGAGGGCATTTCTTCACTTTGGGCTCTCTGCACTGATTAGATCATGGAACCAGAGCCCAGGAAAAAAATAGCACCCGTTACCCCCCAAAAAACACATATGCAGTGGACACATGAATATCTCTATGCAAGTATGGTAATGACTCTAAAATATGCATTGATGAATATAAGCAATGTAGGATTTGCAAGGCAAACCTTCATCAGTTTCTGAAGTACAGGGACCATAACTCTGTTTAGTTAAATTTTGTTTGTGCCATAATCCTGAATTGCCCTTGAATTTAAAAAATATCACACATCTATAAAGTGATACAAAAAGATTAGTATAGTTTTTCCTGCTTAACAAAATGACTAAAACAGGTTCCGAAATAACTGTTATTTTTTTAAAGACAGTTTACCAAAATATCAGAAAAATAACTGTTTTTAAAAATTTAAATGGGACAGAACACTCAGAGACTTTGGATAATTTTGGTACAGTCATGGAGGTGAGACTCTGTCATCTTTGCATTCATACCCGTAATGGGAGATGCTGTTGTGCTAATGCTTGAGGAGCTTGTGCCATGGACCTGGTCTGAATCAAATATCTAGTACCACTCCCTCCATTCCCCTTCTGCCCCCACTGACCTGCCTTAACACCCATACTGCAACTAAGGTAAAAAGGAAGGAACACGAGTACCACTCTGTGAGCACCACCATCCCACTCCTCCCAGCCTTGACGATCCCTTCCCCTGCAACCACTCTCTGACTCACACAACATGATCTGCTTGCACCCAGTGTGTAGTCTTCACTGTCCCTGAATCTACTTCAAGTCACGGTTGATTCCTTCAAGTATCCCAAACCATTGGAGCAGCAAGAGCCTTCCTATGCTTGACGTTCCTCAATGCCCTGATAGAAATGCCATTTCAGGCACCTTGTCTTTCATCAGTGGTTTCCCTTACAGAGTAAATGTCTTCTCTTCCACTGGAAAGGCAATATCTTCCTGTCTCTGAGCCCTGAAAAATTCTTAGTCTGTTTGCAGTCAATGTTTATTGAAAGCCTAGATCCCCTTAATTTACAATGATAAGATATTTTGTTCGTATTTTGGAAGCTAAAAGATATAAAAGCAAATGGAATTTCTGATTTGGTCAGGTCTAGCTTAGTTTCCTAATATAGCTGCAACCTGGGTTATTTGAGTGTTGATTCAATAATCTTAACTAATTGTTTTTGCTTAATCAGGGCCTGCTATAGTTCTGAGTGAGCCTGTAAGGTATTCCTGATCTGTACCCTTCCTTTTCACTGGCCCCATTCTGGCCATTGGCTACCTTCTATCCCAGATCCCTCCAGGGGACTTGGAAATTGAAGTTACTCAAGGGTTTGACATGAGACAGTGGCAGAAATAGGATTCTTCTGTGCCATGTTCTATCTGGATGAAAGTGAGATCCTCATTTCCCTGGAAATCTAAGTGGAAATCATGATAAAAAATGAGTAGGCACTTGGAAAATAGTATCAGCAACATAGGTGATCAAGTTGAAAATCTCTGGGGAAAAAAAATCTGGCCATGATAGTAGAAGGATAAAGCTTCTTTTTCTTCCTCTAGTCTAGGGGGTTCTTATTTTGTTTGTTTGTTTGTCATGGACCCCCTTCACTATTTAATAATGCCTATGGACCCTTCCTCAGGAAAAAAAATGTTCTTAAATAATATAGGAGGAAATGCTAAACGTCAGTGAGAGTTTTGTGACAATAAAGATGCAAGTTTTTTCCTTCCAAGTACGTGGATCCTTTGAAATCTTTCCATGGATCCCTTGGTGGTTTGTGGGCTCCAGGCTAAGAATCCTAGCTTAGTCATTACCGACATGTCATTACTGCGTGTTGCAGTCACAACGGTAATGATTTCAGAGGCAAAAACTAAATGAGGCTGAAAATGAGATGCACTTTACAAAATAAATAAATCCATTAAGAGGCTGGGAATTCAGGGCACAAGGGAGCAGCCTAGATAACTCTTGCATTGTATGCTTGCCCAATTGTAGGACTTCATGGTAATTTTGATCTCTTATAGTGAATAATATTACAGCTTACGACTAACAAGACAAATGAAATGAAACATTTGGAAGACCCTTATTATTTCAGCCACAGAGATATGAGGACAAAGAAAAAATCTTTCAGGAATGAGTATAGATAAAAATTCCATATAAGGAAATTCCGTATAAGATACTTAGTGTTACTTTCTCCTTGATCATCCCAAATAGAGAAAAAAAAGACTTCTCTGAAACAAATATGTACTTTCTTTTCTTTTTTTCCAATATTTAAAAAAAAATCTTTTTTGTTAATTGTGTGTATACACACATATATGTATATATGCATATGTTATACACACATACACATACATACACACATGCACAAACTCACATGTCATCATAGTTTCACCCCAGTATTCCCCCCTCTGCTTCCCAGAGAGCCATCTCCTATAACAAATAGTATTTTTAAGGCAAAAAAAGAAAAAGAGGAAAAAAATCAGTATAACTAATTAATACATTGGAAAAGTATGAAAATACATGCATTATATAACACTTATGGACCTCTCATCTCTGCAAAAGAGTGAGTTAGGTTAGGGTCTCATAACTCTTCTTATGAGTCCTGCTTGTTGTTTATAATTTTGCAACCTTCACTTTTGATTTTTATGTGTGTAGGAGTGTGGTGTCCTTTCCATTTAAATTGTTGTCGCATATATTGTTTTCTTGGTTCTGCTTGCTTCACTCTGCATCAATTCATATAAATCTTTCCATGCTTTTTTTGTATTCATCTCACATCATTTCTTACAACAAAGTAATATTCCATTACATTGATGTACCACAATTTGTTTATCCATTCTCCAACTGATGGACATCTATTTTTGTCAAATGTGCTTTCATGAGGACTTGTGAGAGCTATAGTAAGGACTCAGAGAAAACACTTGTTAACTCCTTGTTGGATGTTATGAATGTTCTTGAATGTTCAGCTCCTCCAGATAATGGGGCTTTTTTTTTCTTAAAGAAATACTGACTTGGATTTATTTCCTCCCTAAAAAAAATCACTTTGACTCAAACATGATCTTTTTAAGTCAGGGGGAATGTAAATATTTCAGAACTTATTAACATCATTATTCCTTCAGTCAAAGGAAGTTTTTCCTGTGGACTAGACCATATCTGTTGCAATAGCCAGGTCTGAACTTGCAAACTGAAATGGGAGATTAAGGCCAATATAAGATAATTCAGATAAAGCTATTTTCGAAAGTAGCTTTGTCTGAATTATTTGAGTATTTGTAGCAGTTGTTTTTTGGGGTGGTGGTGGTGATGTTAGAATTTTCTGGAGAATTGGTGTAGTATTGCATGTTGCTTTAGGAGCAAAAATGTGGCATTGAATAATGATTAGATAGCCTTTTGTTTTATTTCTTCTACTTTATTTTACATGGGGCAACAACCTATATTTATTTGCTTTTATATGCTTGCTTTTGTTAAATGCTTTTGTTGCTATGTCTGAGACTGATGGTACTCTGAATCAGCTAATTAAGATATTTATTTATTTATTTATTTATTTTGTGAGACAATTGGGGTTAAATGATGTGCCCAGGGTCACATAGCTGGTAAATATGAATTCAAGTCCTCCTGACTCCAGGGCTGGTGCTCTATCCACTGCGTCACCTAGCTGCCCCTTTTTCCTCTTTTTGTATCTCAAACGCTTAGCACAGTACCTGGTATGTATTAGTCACTTGATAAATGTTTATTGATTGATTGATTTTAAGCCCAGTGTTATATCCTCTAAACCAAGCTGCCTCCCAACTAAGTTCTATTTCTTCCTTTGACATTTACTAGCTGTGTGGCCATGGACTGGTCACTTACCCTTTCACTGTTTCAGGAAATTTTTTTTTTTTGATATTAATGCATCCCTACCATTGGAAAATGGTGGTAACCAGTCAGTCAGTAAACATTTATTAAACACCAAATGTTGCCAGGCATTGTCCTAAACACTGTGATGAATGAAAAGTCAGAGAGATATAATTTCTGGGTAATTAATAATCAATTGATTAATTATAGTTAACAAATAATTAATAGATTGAGGTCAGTGATTTTCTCTTGTAAATCAAAGACTCCCCTGGGGGGTGCCACTGAATGTTTAAATTCCCTTGGAGAGTGAGTGTTCCTGATAGGCAGAAGTCAACTCTAACTGATTATTATGAGAGGTGGGCTTATTCTAATAAGGGGTTCATGTCACTCTTGGACAGACTTCTGCACATACCAGGAAATGTTTTAAGGATGTACCATGATCTGCCAGCTATTAGTGGAGGGAGTGTCCATACTGGAAGTTCCCTATATCATAAACTCTCTGATCAGGTAAAAAAAAAAGTCAAATCATAAGTATTTATTAAACAACTACTATGTGTCTAGGGCTTGTGTTAAGTACTGGAGATACAAAAAAGTCAAAATTAGTCCTTGCCCTCAAGCAGCTCACAATCTAATGGGGGAGGCAATTTACAGACAGCTGTGTACAAATAAGAGACAGGATAAATTGTAGATGATCTCAGAGAAGAGGCACTAACATTAAGGAAGATTAGGGGCAGAGCCAAAATGGTACAGTAAAGGCAGCAACCTAGATGAAGTCTCCCAACATTCCTCTCCAAACAACTTTAAAATAACTCCTCAAATCAAATTTTGGAGCCAAGAAAAGGTAAGATTGAATTATTTTTGTAGCCTAAGACTATTTAGGGGGTTGCCAAGAGAGGTCTATTACAACTGGGTGGAAGCCTTCCAGGAACACAGGTAGAGAGAGAGTGCCAGTGGCATCCATGACAGTAGTGGTGGCAGGAGCAACAGCAGCTTTAGGAACTCATAACTCAGTGATGGTATGGGGATGGGACAACTGGTCAGAAAGAGAATACAGGGGACCTTTTGTTGACTTTGGGTCCAGTTGGCACTTATTGGCAGCTCTATTGCCCATAAGCAGTTCTGGGTCACAGTTCCAAGGTGGAAAGGAGTGCTTATCATCTGTCACAAACCAGCAAGGCCCTGGTTGCAGTTCCGGAGTCGTGAAGAGCAGTAGCACTTATAGTCTCAGGAAAACGGGGGACCTGGTCACAGTTCCAAAGTTAAGAGAAATGTGAGAGCTTTCAGCTACAGAGGAACAGGAACCCTTTGTGGGTAAAGACCAAAGCACACCAGGAAAGCAGTAAAAAACAAAAACAAAAAAACCCCAAACCTCTTCCCAGATTGTGTCACTTTGGAAGCACCAAAATCTTGTAGACCTCCAGAACTAGCTCTGAAAACAGCAGGATGAAAAAATCTGAAGCTCCCCTGAGCATGGGGAGCAATGCCTAACTTTAGCACAAAATTCATAGTCAAGGAATAGGCTGGAAAATGAACAAACAGGAAAAGAAAAAAACAACTTAGCCACAAAAACCTACTATGTTGGCAGGGAAGATCAAGACAAAAACTAGGAAGATAACGATGTGAAAATGGCTATAAACACATTCTCAAAGAAAAATCCTAATAGGACCCAAGCCCAACAAGAATTCCTGGAAGAGTTAAAGAAAAAGGTAAAAGTGATAGAGGAAAAATTGGGAAAAGAAATGAGAGTGATATGAGAAAATTTTGAAAAGAAAATTAACAGCTTGGTAAAAGAGGCATAAAAAATACAAAAATAACACCTTAAAAAAACAGAATTGGCCTGATGGCAAAAGAGGCACAAAAATTCACTGAAGAAAACAACTCCTTAAAAAGCAGAATAGATCAAATGGCAAAGGAGGTAGAAAAATTCACTGAAGAAAAGAACGCTTTAAAAAGCAGATTTAGTATAAAAGAAAAAGGTATAAAAGTTAACTGAAGACAGTAGTTCCTTAAAAATTAGAACTGGGCAAATGGAAGCTAATGACTCCATTAACATAAAAAATTAATCAAAGTCAAAAGAATAAAATGTAGAAGAAAATGTGAAATATCTCTTTGGAGAAACAACTGACATGGAAAACAGATTGAGGAGAGATAATTTAAGAATTGTTGGTCAACCTGAAAGCCATGATAAAAAACAAAAAAGCCTAGACATCATATTTCAAGAAATTATAAAGGAAGTCTGTCCCAATATCTTAGATCCAGAGGGCAAAATAGAAATTGAAAGAATCCACCAATCACTTTCTGAAAGAGATCCCAAAATGAAAACTCCTAGGAAGATTATAGCCAAATTCCAGAACTCCCAGGTCAAGGAGAAAATATTGCAAGCAGGCAGAAAAAAACAATTCAAATATCATAGAATTGTAGTCAGAATAACACAAGATTTGGCAGCTTCCACATTAAAGGATCTGAGAGCTTGGAATATGAGATTTTGCATATTTCACATATATAATTGATATCATTTTGCTTGCCTCCTCAGTGGGTAGAGGAGATGTGAAAGGGAGGGAGAGAATTGGGAACTCAACTAAAAAAAAAGAATGTTAAAAATAAATAATAATTTAGAAAATTAAGGAGGATTGGGAAAATCTTCTTGTTGAAGGTAGGATTTTAGTTGAGACTTGGAGGAAGACAGTAAAGACAAGAGGCAGAGATGAGGGAGAGAATTCCAGGCACGTATAACAACCACTGAAAAATGCAAACATAATGGAAGACTCTGTGTCTTGTGCACATAACAACAAGGAAGCCAAGGTTACTGCCTTGTAAAGCATAATGTGGTGAGTAAGAAGACTAAAAAGCTAGGATGGGACCAAATTATGAAGGTCTTCCAAAGCCAAACAGGAAATCTTTAGTTGATTAGTCGAAGGACAGCTTCACATGAATGAAGACATTTAGCAGATGAACCTTAGAGAAACCTTATCTCCATTGAAGGGAATGTGGAGGAGTTGTGTAGAAGATGTCCCTAATTTGGGCAGGATTTCACCCAGACTATTCCAGAGCTTTATAAATATCCATTCTGTTTTCAGTTTCAAGGGAAGGATTTTTCCAAACTTTAGCAATCTTTTTATTCCCCTACTGTTATGAAACCAAGTTGGAAGATGAAGTGACATGTTTGAAGAACTGCATGAAGGCCAGTGTTGCTAGACTGAAGAATAGATGGAAGGGAGTAAAGAATATGAAATGTGTCAGACACAACAGTGAAACCGTAGTTAGGAGAGGATTAACAAACTGCTCCTATCTATTTTGGACAAAAGTATTGTTTTAGTCCCTGCTGTTACCAAGTATATTGACAATATCTGTCTGCCATTGTTTCTTACAGGTATGCAGGAGCAATGGAAAGACTGCAGGCAGAGACTGAACTTATTAATCGGGTAAATAGTACTTATCTTGTGCGACACAGGACCAAAGAGTCAGGAGAATACGCAATTAGCATTAAGTAAGTGGGCCAAGAACTTTTACAGAAATTGCAAATTTCCTGTGGTCATAATTGCTTAGATAGTCTGATATGTATAACACTGATGCTGAAAATGGGCGGGGGGTCTAATTATACCAGTGGTAATATATAGTCAGACAGTTCATTAATACATAAAAATATCTGTTAGAAAAAAAAACTGCAATAAATGCTATAGGCTGCTAATTGGTATATTACACTTCTTTCGTGTTCAAGCATTTTAGTAAAAAAAAATGTGTTAGCAAATTCTAGCCATGAAAATTATTGGATGGTTCTTTTGCTGTATCTACATCTGTTCTTAATGGAGACTTGGGAAATGAATGTGGTTTAGTGACTGACTTAAAGATTGACTCCTTCTGTCATTTCCTTGCGGTCTTTTCCCTACCTCTAGATGCTGGCTGCATCTTCAGCCATATTCTAGTAAAAGTATTTTGTTAATTAGCTGTCAACAATGTATTGGCATAGGTATACATTTTGTCTTTGGAATTAATTCCTGTAATGTTATTGGGGCATGCCCTCTGGTAATTATTGATCTGGGCTGATTAAAAACACATTTATATTCATAAGTTATGCATTGCCCACAGGTACAATAATGAAGCAAAACACATCAAGATTTTAACAAGAGATGGCTTTTTCCACATTGCAGAAAATAGGAGATTTAAAAGTTTAATGGTAAGCATTGATTAGGTTCTTTCTCTTCAATGTGCATTGCAGCCTCAATGTTAATTCTATGCGTTCCCAGAAGTTTGGCATCCTGAAAAGTTATTAAAGGAGAAGCATCTATTATTTTGCAATAGGCTCAGTCATATTTCAAGGTTTGGCTTCACAGAATGTTTATGGAAAAAGCTAAATTAAAAAAAAACTGTCTTGCTTAAATATTTGGGGCATACCATTAATTTGCAACACATTTTCAATGTGTTTCTCTGTCTTAAACATCCTGAGTATTCTATTCCATCCTCATCAGTTCATAGTATCAGAGAATGTCAGAGGTGGAGGGGACTTTACAGGACAATGCGGTTTCTATAGAATGAATGTTAGATTTAATTGGAGGACCAGAGTTCAAATCCCAAGTCTGCTTTTTTTATTATTTGTGTGACATTGGGCAAGTGAAGTTAAACTTTTCAGACATCGATTTCCTAATCTGTAAAATGAGTGGGTTGGATTAATTAGTCAGTCAACAAACATTTGTTAAATATTTTATGCCATTATGTATGCTTACTATGTGTACTATGCCAAGTACTAAGGGCACAGAGAAAGGCAAAAACAAGGACCTTGCATTCTAATGGGAGTGATAACACATAAATAACTAGGTGCATACAAAATATAAACAGAGTAGATGGAAAGTGGGGCAGCAGCAGATAGAGTGTCCTTCCTGGAGTTAGGAATGCTCATCTTCCTGAGTTCAGATCTGGTTTCAGAAACTTACTAGCTGCATGACTCTGGGCAAGTCACTTTTCCCTGTATGCCTCAGTTTCCTCATCTATAAAATGAACTGGAGGAGGAAATGGCAAACCACTCCAGTATCTTTGTCAGGAAAACCTTGACACAAAGAGTCGGACATGACTGAAATGATTGAACAACAACAATAAAGATTGAAAATATTTCTAGAGGGGAAGGCATTAGCAGGTTGAGGGGAGAGGGGAGAAGAAAGGCTTGGAGAAGGTGCAATTTGAGCTGAGTGTTGAAGATAGCCAGGAAAACCAAGGCATGTAGGAGGTAAGATGGCAACTTCCTAGGTGGGGGGGACATCCAGTGCTAACATACGTATCACATTTGAAGAACTACAAAGAGGCCAGTGCTGCTACACTGAAGAGTGGGTGAAAGCGAGTAAAGGATATGAAACTGGAAAAGGAGGAAGGGACCTGATTCTGAGGAGCTTTAAAGGCCAAATAGTATGTTGGAAGTATCTATGATTTTATGGTTCTCTGAGCTATGATTAATTTGTACATTAGACTAGTCATTGAGTCCACTGCCTCATTTACTAGATGAGGAAAATCAGGTTCAGAGGGTAGCTTACCACATTCACATAGCTGGTTATTCAGTCAACAAGCATTTTAAAACTACTGGTTATGTGCCAGGCAATGTGCTAAGCATCTCTCCATTAGATTATAAGCTCTCTGAGAGCTGGGACTGTCTTTTGACTCTTTTTGTATTTTCAATGCTTAGCATACTGCCTGACACATGATAGACTTTTAAAAAATGTTTATTGACTGATTGATTAAGCACTAGGGATACAAAGAAAGGCAACCCCCCCCCCCCCAACAGTTTTTGCTTTCAAAGAACTCAAATGGAGGAGACATGCAAAGATATTTAAGTACAAACAGGATATATTCAGCATAAACTGGAGACAATCTCAGAGGGAACTCACTAAAGTTAAGGAGGATTAGGAAAGGCTTCTTGTAGAAGGTAGGACTTGAACTGAGACTTAAAGAAAGCCAGGGAGCCAGGAGCTATAGTTGAAGAGGGAGAGAGTTCTAGGTATAGGGGATGGTCCAGAGATGGAGTGTTCTGTTTGTGCAACATCAAGGAGGTCAGCATCACTGGGTTACAGAGTAATTCACAAAGTATGTGGTGGTAGGAATGGGGGGTGTGATGTAAGAAATAAGAAGACTGGAAAGCTAGGAAGGGGGCAGGTTATGAAGGAAGGACTCTAAAAGCCAATATTTTATATTTGATCTTGGAGGCAATAGGGAGCTACTGGAGTTTAATTGAAGAGGGGTGTGACATGGTCAGACTTAGGCCTTAAGAAGATCAATTTGACAGGTGAGTGGAGGATGGATTGGAGCGAGGAAAGATATGGGACAGAGAAAACAATCAGCAGGCTACAGCAGTAGTCCAAATGTGGGGTGATGAGAGCCTGAACCAAGGTGGTGATAGTATCAAAAGAGAGAAGTCAGTAAGTTCATAGAGGTTAATAGTTAATAGTAAAGCAAAAAATAGAAAACAGGCTTCCATATTTTGTCTCTAGTGCCTTTCCTTGAACTGTTCTACCTTTTGTAGGTATATACTTAGGGAATGTATATTGCTTTTATTAACAGCTTTAGTAACATATGCTTAGAAAGCTACTAAAGCTTTTCCTTTTATAGGCCTTCTCTTGGTGATCCCATCTATTTCTATAGGCTTAAATCTAATATATTCTAAACCTCTGTCTGTACCTTTGATCTCTGCCCTGAGCTCAAGACCCGTTTTTGCTGCCTATGGGGAATCTCCACTTGGATGTTTTATTGACCCCTAACTTCTGGGCCAGAGGATGTCAGATGGGTCTTTAGAAGCCACCTAACCCAACCTAGACCTAAACCAGAGTCCTCTTTACATTGTCCCCAACCAGTAGTCATTCAGGCTTTTTAGAATCTCTCTCTAAAATTGAGCTTGATCAGGAGTAATAATAGTTTTATTCATTCTGCCATAATATTGCTTTTATGTGTTATCTCTTTCTAGCCCTATTTCTCTCAGCCTAGTTTGTAATATCAAAACCTTAGAGCTGAAAGCAATCTTAGAAGCCATCTGGTTCCATTGCCTCACTTTACAGATGAAGAAATGGAGACCCTGAATTGTGAAATGACTTTTCCTCTGTCACAGAGCTAGTGAATGGCAGAGCTGGGTCCTGAAGGCAGTTCTTCTGACTGTTCGAATCTATTACTTTTTCCTATGCCATGCTGACTCACATTTTCATAGGCCACAGCAATGGCCTCTTGACCAGTCTCTCCATCTCTAGACTATTCTCTGATCTGTTCTCTACAGACTTCATAATCTAACATTCCAGGGCTTTTCATACTCTTAGCTCCTACCTAACTTTGCTTCCTTATCTCATACTATGCCTTTTCATGTTTGTGATAGATTAGCCAAATTGGACTATTCAGTGTCACATGAACATACCCTATACTTTCTGGACTCTGTGTCATTTCTGTGTCCTCTATTTGACGTGCTTTCTCCCTACTCCTTCATCTCTTGAAATCCTACTTGTCCTTGAAGACCTAGCTTAAATGACATCTCTTTATATTTCAAAGGCTGCTTTCAATGAAAGTTTATAAGGCCATTTGGATTTTTGAAATTAATTGATAAAGTATCCGGAACATACCATTAATTTGCGGCCAATTTCAATCTATTTTTCTGTCTTCATTCCATGTGCTCTTCCTCACCCTAATGAGTTCATAAAGTCAGAGAATGTTAGAGATGGATGGAAGCTGAAGGAGGTACTGTGATATAGTAAAAAGAGTGCTGCTAGGTGATGTAGAGGATAAAGCACTGGCCCTGGAGGGAGGACCCAAATTCAAATCTACCCTCAGAGACATTTACTAGCTGTATGACCCTGGGCAAGTCACTTAACCTGATTGCCTCTAGAAAAAGAAAAAAAAGAATGAATGAATGAATGAATGCTGGATGTACAAATGAGTAAATTGAGGTCACTAGAAGTTGGGTGACATTCATGACCACATGGGTAATGTGGGAGCTAAAAAATGAGCCCAGATCCAGGGCCTTTTCTATAGTACCATGCTGTTTTTCAATAGTACTGTAAGCTAAGGGGTTATATCACCATAATTGTTTCAACACCAACCTAGCAAGATTGTTGGGAGGGGAAAACATTCTGTATAAGCCTTAAAGTACTGCATAAAGCTGTGTTGTTACATCATTTTATAGTATTGTTAACAGTTGTGTGTATGTGTATTTGAGTGAGAAATCAGAGATAAGATTCCAAATTTTCCTTTAGAAATGAATTCCTAATACCACTATCAAATGAGATAGGTTTATTCTGAAGTGATAAGACATTTGGAGAGAGTACCTCAGGTGCATTTTTCATATTGTGCTAAATAAGTGTATTGCATTGCATCATTATAGGTTACTCACTCAATATATCATTCATTGAAGCATCAATCAAATGATACTTGCACAACACCCTTCCAGAAAACATCTAAAGCACTTTGCAAATAAGATTAAAGTCTAAACTGATTGTGGAAAGTTTCACAAATCACCCTGAAAATGTCCATCCATCTTCCTTCCTTCCTTCCTCCCTCCCTCCCTCCCTCCCTCCCTCCCTCCCTCTCTCCCTCTCTTCCTCCCTTCTTCCCTTCCTTACTATCTATCTTCTATTTGTCTGCCTACCTTACTGTCTTGTAAGTCTGTCTGTCACTCTTTCATGTTTTAAAAAATTATTTTTTTGCAAAGAAAAACAATTTTATTTTATTTTTTGTGGTTAGATTTATCTAGTTCAGAGAGGGGGAGGTTGATGTCCCCCACTAGTATAGTTTTGTTGTACATTTCTTCCTGTAACTCCATGAACTTCTCCTCTAAGAATTTTGATGCTGTACCGTTTGATGCATATATGTTTAGTAATGATATTACTTCATTGTATATGGTGCCTTTTAGCAGTATATAGTTTCCATCCTTATCTCTTATGTGCTATGTATATCTCTTCATGATTTTTTTTAAGAAGTCTAATATCTTAAAGAGAAAGGTCCCTGTTTGTAAACAAAAGTGAAAAGAAAATATGGGAGGGTTCAAGGGCAAATATGTCATTCTCTTAAGTCAAGGAGTGAAGGGTAGGAAGCAAAAGATATGTTTTGAAATATTACTGAAGTTCAGAATTGGTAGCCAGACTCTAGCATCTTTAACTGATGGAATTGACTTAGGTTCCCTCTGAGAATCTGGACCCTGATAAGGTTTCTAGCAGCAGA